ACTTGTTCTCCTTCTTAAATCCTTTGGATCAAAACACATAAAAAAATTTCAATCTTTTTGTGTGTTTGTAAAACGACAGGACTGCGATATCCGCTCAACCGCAAAGAGATATGGCGCGATCGCGGCTCACCATAGAGACTTGGAGAATGAAGATACCGGGTTCTCGTTTGTTAACTGTGACATCGGCGGTACGGGGAAGGTTTACCTGGGAAGAGCTTGGGGAAACTACTCGAGAACTGTTTATTCAAACTGTTTCATAGATGATATTATCACTCCTGTGGGCTGGAATGACTGGAACGTCGTCGACAGACGAAGGTTATAAAAGGGATCTTGAAACTGAAAACTCAGCTCTGAAACTAAAGACAACAACTAAAAAACTGATTGTTCTTTTTGTTGTTGCAGTAAAGTGCTGTTCGGGGAGTATAACTGCAAGGGAAGAGGAGCAGAGAGGGGAGGTCGAGCTCCGTGGTCGAAGAATCTTACCGGAGATGAAGTGAAGCCTTTTCTGGGGAGAGAGTTCATATATGGAGACCAATGGCTCAGACTTTGAACCATTATTAGTCTACAAAACATAAAACTCACAACCTAATATACTTTATACATTTGTAATTAGTACCGACTCTGAGCAGAGCAGAGAGAAATAGAATCTGCGTGTGTTTAAACTGATACAAAAGTAAATGAAACCCAGGTTTTGGTCTTGTAGATAGCTAATAAATTTCTTACAAGCTGATTCAAAGTGGTTTCTTAACAGGTAGTTTTTTTTATAATAAGAAAAATACAAACTGGATTCTTTTTTGATCCTAACAACATTGCATAAACCCTAAAATAACCAACTCCTAAATAAATCATATTGCTTAGATCGGTTAAAACAAAATGCAACCACCAAAATCATGCCTCTTCAATTTTCTATACAACCTTTACCTACTCCTCTCTCCTCAGCACCAACCAAGTCAAACCCAGAATCACTTTTTTCTTCTTCTGCAAACTATGTCAATATATACACACATAAAGAAACATCAAACTTTCCAGAGATGTGGCACGTACCAGAATAACCATCATTATATATGACCTCAAGAAAGCATCTTTACGTTGTCACCAGCGTGGTAGTAGTTTTTGATAGAGTGAAGACTGATTCTGATTTGCGGGGCTTCTCATCATTAAGGGTAACATCATCATCTTCTTTGTGGTCCTGCACGGTATTTGCATGGTTGACATACGTATTAGTTTCGTTACTTCCAACCTCTTTATCCTCTTCTTTTGAAAGTCTGCTTTCATCATCCTCCTTAACTACCACATCATTTTTATGCTCTTTGTCTTGTTCTCTTAAAAGCAAATTGTCCGGTTTATCGCTTTCAGGTTTTGCCTCCTCAACAACATCTGGCATAGCAATGGGCTTTGCCTTGGCATCTTTTGCAAGAGTAGATGACATGGAAACCTTGGCTTCCAGGCTAACAGTAGATGATACGAAAGAGAGTATTTCAGGTTTAGGATCGATATCAACCCAGCCGTCTCCCACCCAGTCTCTGGAAATCCGAAGATCCTTTCTCCGCACTATCACACATAAGTTTTCCCCTAACATCATGACAACAAAACACATGTCAACCCTACAGAAATTGGAGGAAGTCTCCGAGAGTGGAAGATGATCAAAGGAAAACACCAAATCATACCAGGGATATAAATTCGCATGTTTTCCGTGTCCGGTTTGCCAATGGCAATTACAACACCTTCCCACCAACCATCATTCCACCATGCATCAACAGCTTCACCAATTGTGGGATCAAAGTCGGCTGTTTTAGCATCAGGAGGAGCAGGCCGGATTGTTGGGCGGTTGGACGACCTCATACCAAGCTTATCAGGCATAGCAGATTTAAAAGCCGGCACCCATTCCTACCA